GCGACGCTTTCTGTATATATATATATCTATATATATATATAGATAGATGTGTGTGTGTATGTATGCATGGATGTATGCATGTATGTATGTATGTACTTTTGGCTCCCATTTGGCAACGTCCGCAGACACTGAAACGAGTGACAACTGCCATGTATGTATGTATGTATGTATGTATGTATGTATGTATGTATGTATGCGCGGTCTGTGTGAACCTGCATGTGTCTGTAGGGGCGTGTGTATGCATTTTACCTATTTATTTATCGGCGTGGGTCGGAAAACGGCCCCTGCGTTTTGCTAGCTTTACGTATACGCACCGGTGTCAATCCCACAAAAACTCCGAAACCCACAACAATCCAAAACCAATGAACCCAAAAAAAAGAAACACAGAAACCAAAACCAAAAAAAGGCCGACATGCAAAACCAAACACACCAAAATAAGCAAGTCACCAACAAACAAAGAAATCACAACCAAAAAACAACTAAATCCCAGAGTCCCAGAGGAGATCCAAAACCAAAGATACCGAAACCACAAAAAACAAAATCTCAGAGGAGATCCCAAACCAAAGACATTTTTTTAAAAATAAGAAACCCAAAAAAAACACAAGGAAACCGCAAAGTAAAATAAAATAAACAAACCACAAACAACCAAATCTCCAGCCGATATCCAAAACCAAAAACCCAAAGAAGCCAAGAAAAAAGAATAAACAAAATCCGGGAGGAAATCCTACACCAGGATGTGGTTTCTTTGGTTTCTTTGGTTTTGGATCTCGGCTGGGATTCTATTGTTATTTTTGGTGTTGGTTTCTTTGGTGAGTTTGGTTTATTTGTTTTTTGTGGTTTCTTTGGTTAGGGATCTCCTTTGCGATTTTGGTTGTTTTGGTGTTGGTTCCTTCGGTGTTTTTGGCTTCTTTGGTGTTGGTTTTCGTCTGGGGTTTTGGTTTCTTCATGGTTTTGGCTTCGTCAGTTTTGCTGTAGCTCCTTGGTTTGGATTTCCTCTTGTTTTCGACTTTTCCACAGTGGTGCGCAGTGGGGCCGCCGGCGACCGCTTATACTAGCACCGGTAGCCCGTTTTCGCCATTGGTTTCATTAGTGTTGAATAGAGACGAATGCACGTCAATATATATATATATATATCTATCTATCTATCTATCTATTTATTTATTTGCTCTTTTTCACTTGCATTTATATCGCCAACAAAAAATTGCAGTCATAAAGGCTTCGGAATTTAGTTACTTTAGTATCTACTAACCTTCCCCCTGTAAATCCCCCTTCCCAAACAGGGCCTGATAAGACTCTTAGTGAGGCCTTTTGCCGGGCCGAGCAGAATAAGGAAATGAGGCTGGAAGAAGCTATGTTGGTTTTATTTCGTTAGCCAAATTAGTGATCAATTAAGCGGAATTAAGGCGGGCATCAAGAACAGAGGAGCTCCAAATAAGGCAGGCCAGTGCTTCGGGAAAATCCGCGGCCCTTCTATGCCCTTCGCAGCGCGGCCACTATCAACTTTTGTTTGGTTGCTTGCCTGCTGCACGTGTCCGGAGCTCATTCTCTCTCGTGCTCTCTCGCTCTCTCCCTCTGTCAAGCTCTTTCTCGTTCTTTCTTATGCCGGGTCAGGGATGAGCACGCTCCTTTGAGCTGTGGTGCCGCGAGTCTGCGCCGTTGCTGACCAGCAAAGGCAACAGGATCTGATCTACAAGGCGGTCTCTCTCTGTCTTTTTTTCGCCAGGGCTAGCATGAAGGGGTATCCCCTCCACTCTCTTTGTGTCTCTCTTTTTCTTTGTTCTCTCGCTCTTGCTTGCTTGCTAGCGGCTCCGAGAAGGCGCCCCCATGGGAACACCCTCCCACGCACTGCGCGCAGCCGTGTTCGTGGTCTTCTGCTGTCAGCCATATTAGCATTCCCCCAGCTCGGTGTGAAAGGAACTCAACGATGTTCCCCCCGCGACCGAACGAAAACACCACAAAGCCTGAATAAGAGCTACGTCACAAGTTATCGGTCGGGCAGGAGCAAACAGTGCTTGGCTCCCCCTCAACTTGGCTCTCTCGCTCTCTCTCTCTCTCTCTCTCTCTCTCTTTATAGTTGCTGTTCAGCTGCAATACTCACACAAGAACTAACAACATACTAACAACCGTCACACCAAGCTCACTACACTACAGTCACCGCGGTTGGGTGGCTGAATTGGGCTGAATTGGATTAAACCTCAGTTTTCTGCAGAAACTCGACGCCAGTCCTCAGCTCGTGCTGCCCTTGCCGTCATGACTGGTGCGGTGAGGTTTCTGAGCTCCGCTCTTGGCGAAGGCCTGCCTCGGTCGAACAGCGTTAGCTGCACTTGTCGCAGAAGAAGAGTTGCCCGAGGCAGCAGCACCAAATCAGCCATATTTGGCAGCCGCCTGCAGCTGCAGTGATACAGGACGTGAAGGGACCCATATTAGCAGGCTCAGCCACTGACTGCATCTCCAGAGACGACCTCACGAAAGCAAGAAAGCTTTGTGCTCCGATTGCCGCGACTACAAAACAATCTAGACTCAATGCCAAGTCAAAAGCCAAACAAGCTGATCCCCGTGCTGGATTTCCTGCGCAGGAACGAAGCACAACAGACCGGTGAGCGCATAACGAAATTAAACATCATGCTGGCTACCCGCAGTCTTGGACGGGTGTTGCATGGGCCGGAGGACGCTGCAAAAAGGGAACCCAGTCTGCCCTCATCCAGCCGCCGGGATTCAGATCTTGGCTCCCTGCGAAGGCTCCAGTGTTGAGCAGCTGGGCTGAAACCATATTGCCAACCTCAAGCCGGCCACGAGTGCGAGCACCTCATCGGACATATGTGGCAATGAGGGGTCCACGAGCCAAACTCCCATGAAGGACATCATCTTGTTCCTCCGGTACGGTTGCATTCAACACAGCCCCAGTCTTGGAATGCTGCTAGCATACGCTGGCATACACTGCACTTCAGCTCCGCTCACGCTCTGCCGACGTGTATGACACAACGAACACCAACCCGGCCCCTGCGCTGAGGTTACGATTTCCGGCTTCGGCACCTGGCATCACTTCGCGAGCTGCGACCGGCTGCAGATTACCCGGGCATTCTGGGCCTTCAGTGCTTCAAAGATCGCATCACCGAGGAAGAGCATTGCCCACAAGCTTAGTTGAACAGCAAACACTGCCTGAGTGGTCACATTGAGGCAAAAAGGGCTCGAGCAAAGAAACCTGCGGACTTTGGGGCACAGACGTTGGACGCGTACCTCACTATATCTTTCAACCAGTGTAGCACTCATTCCTAAAGAGAGTAGCAGCACCCTCGTTAGACATGCACAGCTGCAAACCAAGTGCTGCTTGTACGTCGGAACGGGATATGGCATCCCTCTCACCTGACAAGGAGTGAAGACTTTGCCTAGGTCCAGGCTTCGAGCAAAGGGGCCAGAGTTCCAACGCCTCCAAATCAGTAAGAGCACGCTCCTAGCAGAACGCAAGGTAGACCTAACAAGTGGAATTACTGTATGCTGCCGTCGAGACGGGTGCAAGGCTGCTTTATTGGTCACGCACATTTGCAAGGCTAGAATCTGCTTTCTACTTTCCATCCAGATGCTGCTGGCCATGATTTCAGGAGCTTGAACTTGTGTCAGAGCTGTTCGAAGAGCTTGCAGGGCTCTTTGGTGCGAGCAGCTCTGCCCTTGCCAATGCTGCAGTTCTGGCTGCAGCAGGTAGTTTCATCGCTGCTTCAGCTGCTTCTTCTGGGAACTCCTTGCATGCGCCAGCGAACCAGTCGGCGCATGTCTTGAGAACATCCGGAAGGGCGGTGGAATCGAAGCCGTATGCCTGTTTCAAGTGTCGAAAATCCAAGGGCAGTGGTCGCTCCACGCTTGGAAGAAAGCTGCGGGGCCGGTCGACTTCCTCCAACAAAAGCGGTCCCGTGGCGTCTGCCTGGCCTGTCTGGCCTGGGTTCGAGGCCTTGCTGAGAAGTCCCAAGAAATCCCTCAGAGGGACCTGGAGGTCACTTCCCACATTCACTGCATCGAACGGCTTCTGAAGCCTTTTGCCGACCAACCCTGCTAGGAAACGGGCCACATCTCGACTGAAGACAAACGCAAGCGGCGGATCATCGAAACTCTGAGTCGTGGCTTGGGCTTCGAGTCTTGCGCGCTTCGCCGGCAGTTTGCGAACTTGAGGCCGACAGCTGTCTGCCCCTGCCCGCAACCAATGCCAATATGCCCACAATCGAAGAGTATCGTCGAAAGGACCTATGACGTCAGGCAGTCGAAGTGCAACGGCTCGCGTGCTGGAGTCGAGTCCTTCGGCCAATGCTTCCTCTGCCTCCAGCTTGCCGTCACCATAGCTATCTGCCTTGCGCAGCTTCTTGCGAACTGTATCTTCCGCAGGTCTTTGAGCAAAACTCTCGTCGACGGCCCGAGCCTGCAGCATCCATCCAGACCCTGCTGCGGAACTTACTTCATAGACGGAATCTGACGAAATGTAAGCATATGTGTCGAATCTTCCATGCAGCCCTTCCAGAGCGCACCTGATGTCAGCACCATCGTAAGCCGAAAAATCTGCTATGAGCGCCCACTTCTCTTCCAGTCTTGTGGTAACCATATCCAGGCGCTCTGAAAAGTGCCGCTTATCTCGACGATCCGCAGTAAGCCGCGCAACACGGCCGTTAGAAGGGTCCCTGGTACCCCAGTACGAGCGTCCTCGATTCACAACGCACACACGGGTGGGAAGCTCCAAAAGTGTCTGCACAGTCTCTCGTCCCATAAATGTAGAGCCACCGAGGACAAGCACAGCTGGTTTGGAACCTGTGCTAACAGCATCGGCCTTTAGGACGTCCTCGTTCTCCAACGGCGACGACATGCTGTCCAGAAAGTGGTGCGCACAGTTATGGCATGCTTCCAGCAAGCAACATGAGCCAATGCTGGACCCCATCTACCATGTGTGCTGAATTGAATTGTGCTGCGCGAGCGAAGTCAATGCCTCACTGCGGTGTGTCATGTTAAACGCTCCTTGGAGGAATCGTCAAGCACAAACTTGGAAATGCCACGCTAAAGAAGCCAGCTGCTGCGAGGACATGAGCGTGTAAGTCAGCACAAGCCTGATATGCACGATCCAGTCTGCGTCCTTCAGGATAGACGACACCTGTTGATAGGTGCCTTTGTAAGATCAGCTGGTACAATACCTGGTTGCCAGCGCAGCGGCTGCAGCCTTAAAGCAAACTTTGTGCCAGGCGCACTGGATCAACACCTGGTCCTTGCCTCGGTTGCGGCACCATGGAATTCGGAGACAAAAAAGGTCTGGAAGTCGTAGAGTTTGCGGATTGCTTAGATTTCCTGCTTGGCATCTTGAGACTTGTGCCCACCTAACACCCCCACGTCAACCCACCACGATTGTCGGCGCTAGCGTAATACGGAGATTCGGACACTGTGGAATGGAGCTAGGTATTCGGTGAAGGGTAGCTGGAGGTATGATGCTGCATCAAAGGCCGGATAGACCTGCATTTCCAACACCAAACATGCTCCGCACATGATACCGCTGTGCAGTTCGTAGGTCTTTGAACCCTCTGTCGTGATTGGTTCAACTTCTTCAGCCGATTCAACTGCATGAGGACATGCTGGAGCTTAAGGAAGAAACAAAGAAAGGAGAAAAGAACACATGGAAGTGTTGAATCTATAGTGAATCTAGTGGCCCAGCTTTGGCAGCGCATCTTGCTTCAAGGGCGCCTGGCAAAGCCAACTGCGCATGATGGAAAAGCGACGCATAAAGCGAGCAGTAATAATGGCAAGCCCTCGGCTTCGTTGGACTGTCACACAAAACTAATTCAGCTACTTGATGGTCCCCTGCATTCAGTGCATAGTACAGGAACCGTGTGATCCTGAGTGGACCTAACTCTAGCACGTACGGACACGACACACACACACACACAGCACTGCTGAATCGCATTGCACCCACAGTAGGTCCTTTGCAGAGTTCGTCGCGTGATCCTTGGATTCCCGCAACTGCTTGTTGAGCAAGTCTTGCAAGCATCTTCATATTTTCACCAAGCCTACACTGATGTGCAGATCTTCATCTGAACGGCTGTGGCTGCGATCTGCGTCGCATTTCCGGAAACTTCCGCGTCGATGCCTGCCAAGATGGATGCCCCGAGCAAGAGATGCAACAGATTGCCCGCACACACTCCGCCGAATTCGACTTACATCAAAGCCCACGCGCGAGGCTTGCAGGCATGGAAACGGACACCGATCCCATTGCTGAACACATGCACGTGCCTAGAATTCCAAGCTCGTTGGCAAAACGAAATGCCACCATGGCCTCCACAGCCCCACAGCTGGGAATTTCGCAAATGCACGCCGCCACGCAAGCGAGGATTCCGTGTGCTTAGTCGCGTGCAGCGAGAGCCACACCAACAAACCTGCAGCAACATCACCTTTAACTGTATCTGAGAGTGTGGTTTGGACTGTGAGTCCAAATGTCCCTGCCTAAGTGTCTCCGACATCGCAGCGATGCAAACTAAGAGAATCAGCACCCGCGTTCCGTGGGACTTGCATGTTGTATGGCAGATGCTGACAACAGACAAACAAGCATTGACTCGGTAAGTGACAATACCCAACGGGCTGACTGAGCCACGCTCTCTTTGGTTCCACACGGGCCCAATGAGATCCGATCAATCGCGAGTGCAAGTACGGGACTGTGCATCCAGGACATCGAACTCTGTATTTTCGCCTCGCAGCCTAACTCTCTTCGCACGGGAAGTCTTCTGTCGACCAATTGCTCGGCATGAACCTGCACGAAACTGTTGATGCGTCCACAATGTCATTAAGGCATGTGAAATTCCCCTTGTGTTTCTTTTGCCGGAGAGTTGAGCAGCTTGGCGAAACATGCTGTGCGGATTCGCACAACTTGAGCTCGTAGAAACTTTGTCTAGAGCACTCTCGTCTACAGATCTCCATGGTCGATCTTGGTGCGTCCACCGCGCTCGTCCATCTCGATGTCCTGGAGAAGCACCAGCCAAAAATCTCATGTTCAAGCAGCCGGCAAACAATGCAATGATAAGTTTGAGCTGAAGTCTGTGTGTCTAAACCCAGAAATTTGCATCTGAGCATCGTCGTCGTCCACTTCGGCCGGGCCGCCTTTCAGATCACAAGCTCCAGGACTCACTGACTCACAGTTTTTTTCCAACAGCCCTCCTAACGCTTCCCGACCAACAGCCCACATTCACATGTGTGCCGTGCTTTCGGCACCTTGCTTCTTGATAAAGTTGTCGGTGACCCAGAACTGCAGCGCATTCATGCAAAATGGTGTGGCAATCATCGCGACCAGCAGCTTCAGATTTGGGCTGGACGCAAACCTGGACAAATAAGTAGCAAATTCACTGCATGCTATGGTGCTGAGGCTGCAGATTCCAAGTGAACTCAGGCAGGCACGGCGCAAGGGTCATGCGAGCAACAGCTAGAAGCAAAGTGTGGAAGACCGCCATGAAAACGACCATACCCACCTTCCTGGAACGTGTGAGACGAGCATGTCAGCATCTCTGAATCGGAAGGTAGAGTTGCACTGGGTTGCCGAACATTGAGCTGACGACCACGAGCCACACAGCCAGCTGCTTAATGTATTTCCTTAACCGAAGAAGTGCCGGGGGCATGCCAGTAACAACCCTCTGCACAAGTAGCTAAGATCCCTTGCGCTCGCTGCCAAGCGACGCAGCATCAATGCCACCGTTGACCCGGTACTCGCCGGTCTTGAAATCAGGTGCCTGATTGATGAGCCCCGGTGAGTGAGGAGGTTGGCAGGAAGCATACAGTGCCGGTTCCGCATGATTACCACCCTGCCTGGTCCGGGACCGTTGCCAGAATTATCCTGTCAAGCAACAGAAAAAAGAATGACCAGAATCTCAGCAAGCCTCTAAAGATGCTTCATGATGCCCAACAGTCGGCCTCGTGGAGAGCTGTAGCAGCACGTAGGTGCAAGCGACACCGAGCGTGCAGTCCACCACAATATTGATCCAATACCTCAAACTCAAATGTCTATATCCGGATTGCCAGCTTTCCGAAGCGAGCTGGCAAAGCTCCAAGGGCAATGGGGCCCAAGCAGAGCAACACATCCTGAGCACCCAGCCAATCGCACTCATCTCCTCCAGCCTGCTCGTAGTGCTTTTCCATTTTTTGCCTTCTGAACGAAGCTGCACAGGTCTTGGACACGCGTGTACTTGCCAGCAGCTTTCGGGCATCCAAGCAACGCGAATAGCAAGTTCAAGAGGTGAATCCAAGCTGCCCCTGACATGGATTGCAGTGTCACAGCATGGGAACCCATTGCCGGAGTGGCAATGCATCCGGCTCAGCGCACCTATGAGCTGCTTCGATGAATCCATCAGGAACTCCGAGAAGTCGCGGCCATCGTGAAACTGCGACCACTTTACGAGCAAAGCCTGACCGTTCGACTGGTGGGCACCGGCCAGTGCAGCAGGCACAGTCTGCATAGTGACGACGCACGTCATGAGCATGACAGCGTGACCAATTCAAGAGAATGCTGGCACTGATGTTGCCTTACACCTACAATAACAACCGAGCACCCTTCTAACTACAGGGACTTGAAGGTGCAACAAGATGTGGGCCCTTCAAGTCGGGCAAGCAGCTGCGCAGCAGCATAGAAATAAGACCTTTGACAGGTCACGGACAGCTCGTTGCGGTGCAACGTCGTTCCAACAGTCACGTGTTGGCGCAGAACAACAGAGCGGACAGCTGTATTGACTACGTAAACCACTGCAAATGCGACTGTGTGAAAGCACAGCACCTTCAAGCTGCCATCCGAGTGGCAAACTGCGTTGCCTTGCCTGTGGCGCCAGCGAGTATATAGCACTCCTCACCCACTTCTCCTGAATCGAGGGGCCAAAGCCCGTAGAAAGCTCACTTCAGATAAAACCATGCAGGCCATTAAGCAAGCATCGCAGTCCTCTTTGCATTTAAGAGGTACGCGTGTACCATAAACAAATGCGGAAGCTCAGAAAGGCGTGGCTTGGGCCAAGGACGACCAGTGTGGCAGCTCTCGACACAGAACGATGACGTAGTCACACAAGCACTGCTCGCTGCGGGGCTTGCGCTGCGCCTGTCGAGGGCGTCCATGGAGTATCGCCTGAGGATCTCTTTCTCCAGGCCGCTGCTGAGCGCTCGCCTGCGAGCGCGAAGGATGCCCTACATGCGGCTCCATTGCAGGATGCATCTGGTGTCTGAAAAAGCTGCTTGCTCGAGCTTCCTGTAACTCTAACTCCGCGTTGTCTGCGCTAAATACCACCCCTGCAGTGCCGCATCCTGGGCACGGCCTTGCAAAAGTATTCGGGTCGTTTACAGCTTTCAACACATCAGGCACATCCGGCTGTCCTGTCTCTAGATACACGTCTATGGTGCGATGTGAGCCCTGGGGCCACCAAACGATCGATCGAGCAGAGTGGCGCCTTGAACGCTGTTGCGAGAAAGCCTCGGTTCTGGAACGATCTTTGAGCTGAAGCTGCTCAGAGGAATCCTCCACGATTCGATCCTCGGATCAAAGCGCAGGCCTTTGCCTTCGGTTCGTTAAGCCGCTGGCTTGCCACATTCCCGAGGTCCGGTCCATGTGCCGCAGGCTGCGGTCTGCGCGCTGGGACGTCGGCAAGGGCAACTGGAACATGTCTGCACCTGTCTCGCCATGCGCCAGGACACCGATTTGAAATCCAGACTCTCTCGTGCCATGACTGAGCTCCCTACGAAGGTCGGCAACTGACCTTTGTCATTTCAAGCTGCACGTCTGAAAGTTGCCAAAGGCTTCCTTCCAACTTGCCTGAGCCGCGTCATTGCACGAGACAGGGAGGGAGACGCCTCCTGCAAATTCCGTTGAACACAATCCCCCAACGCGAACATAGGAGACCGGTCCTGCAGATTCACAAAATCCTCATCGGCCTGGCCGCACCGCATCTTATGGGCCACATCTGATGCTAAGTCCCGCATCAAATGGTTCAGCACGTTCTGTCTGTGCTCTCCCCCTATAGCAGGAGCATTATCTGAACATGTTTTATAGTCTCAATCCCACAGCTGCTCATGTCCCGTTAACATGCTTCAATACCCCGGGAAGCCGACTTCAGGGGAGGACTCCTCCAACCGTTTCTGCTCTTTGATCTCCCCTAAGGAGTCAATGAAGGCTCTCAAGCCGCTGAAACTTTCCACGTGCCATGCAGCCCCCAAAGCCTAGGGCCTAGGGCACAGCCAAGCATCATCGCCACTCTCAGCACCACAACATCTGGCATGGCCCCAACCACGACAACGACCACCGCACCCGATGGCGATGCAGTAGCCACAACGGGTATTACAAGTGCTTGTGCTAGCATGTGCCGGCTGGCCAACACGATCAAGGATCACACATGTCGACAGGAATCGGTGCTGTTTGCGATGCGTTGGCAATGCCCGTGAGACCTATCTCCGCGGATTTCATGTTCATTGCAACACACCCAACGCTTCCCACAGCAGTGACATACTTGGCAAACCATCATCTCAAGGAATAGCGATCTGAGGTCATTTGCATATCTGACCTATCTTGCGGCATGCCTGGCCATCTTTGTCCAGGAGTGCATCGGAAGTCGCTGCAGGTTGGGGGCCTCAGCTTCAAGACAGCGCAAGACTCCTTAAGCACTAAGGCTTCTGAACTTGCCAAATTCTGGCGAGTTTCTCACGATCTTAAAATATGTCCGTATCCTTCAGGCCAAATTCGATTCGTGCGATTGCACAAAGAGGTGTACCGCGATACCGCACAACAGGTCCTGTGCATCTAAGGGCGGTGCTCGGTGATGGGCCATGTCGATCTTTGGACCTAGCACGCATCCTGAGCTGGCGCATGTTGCAACATCGAGCAGAACAACTAATTGTTTGTAGGTTTTTGCAGGTGTGAGATGGTGGACTGAAGTAAGGCCCGCGACCACAACAATTGGACAACCGGCAAGCATGCCAAGCATGCCACCTTGCGTGCATCTACGTGACTTGTGCCGAACAAGAAGCCATCTCAGGCAAGCCAATTGCTCGGGCAGACGCTGATGCAACCTCGTAAGGAAACGCCTTCCTGAGAAATGCAGCCACATCCAGAACTGAACTGCACCCCTGTTGGTGCTTCCAAGCCGCGAAAAACCATAAAGCAATCCGCCAGTGACTGGCCCAAGGAAGGCCCCCACGGAGGCAGCAGACTGCAGAATACCAATCTTCAAAAATCGGCGTCTGCCATCTCTCGCAAGTCGAACTTGGGGCGACTTGCCTGGTAGGCGCCCATGAAGACGCCGCTGAGACCCTGCGCACTGGTACGAAAACACACTTAGGCCTTCAATTCATGTCTACTCATCTATTGTTTCCCAGGTCTCTCTGCCTTGGGGGCCCTGTCACTGGTTAGGCTTGCTGCGCACGGATCCTTAGTTGATGTTGTATGGAATCTCACACACAGGTCGGGCCGACTTCTGAGACAAGGTCAACCAGGGCACCGCCAGCCACCACGCATACCTTGGATGCCGGATCAATGCTGCACGAGTCCGCATAAGCTGAAAGGCTTCTCGCAGTTGCCATGGTTCGGTCAAGGCTCTGCAGAGAGTACTGGCAGCAATGGCTGGCTGAATGCCGCAAGGCAGCTGTACAAGAGCAGGCCTGGGCGCCAACGGGCTGCTGTAGGCTGTGCTTTCACGTCTGCTACTGGGGCCTTGTCGAGTGCCTAGCTATGCCTGCTGCAGCAAAGGCTCGCAAGGTACATCCACAGAGAATGCTTGCTGGCCTGTCATGCTTTGCAGGGCAGCAAACACACGGCATACACTTTCGAGATGCCGAGCACTCTTGTGACACCCTGCATAGTCACTTGTACTCGGGCTGCCGGCTTGCCGACGATGCGCACAAATCGGCTCACCACAAAGCCCTCACCAGGCGCGGCGATGAAGAAAACCAGGGAAGGTGTTGGAATCTCTGTTGGACCTGGAAGACAATCATGCTGGTGCCAGCGACGCAGAAGATGATTCCCAGCTGGCTTGCGGTGATGCCATACACATCCTGGAGGCGGCGAAAAAATCCGCAAAGAAGCCTTTTCACCTCTGCAGACCTTGAACAGCAAGGGCGAGACGCCCATGTAGATGCCCATGGCAAACTCCTCCCAATGCCGCGCATTGCCGTCTGCTGCATTGTCCGCTCTGCCGACTCCTGAAGAAGGCTGATGCAGCAAACCTTGGGACACCACTCCCGACCCATGCAAGTTCAAAGGATGCTTGTTTGCAGTGCAAAACCAAGAAACTGCTCCAAGAACGGGGTCGGCGAGCAGCACATGCAAGAGCCGCTTCCACACAGCGGCTGTGCTTCGTGCCGCCGCCTGCAATGTTTCGGGGGGTTGTGAACAAAACCACTGCTGCGGTGCTGCCTGCCCGCCGTCTTCTTCAGCTTCCTGCGCATCTAAACTGCGATCACTGCACAGAACAGCCGAGTCAGTGACAAATTTGTTCAACTTTGTGCCAGCTCACATCAGCAAAACTCCGCCTTCAGCGGCGCCTGCTCCTTCATTCCGTCCTAGCTGGACGTTGGACGGTTCGGACAAATACAAAGCTTATGGACGCCTGCGGCAGCTGCCGCGCAGCCAGCAAGAAGTTGATGAGCGTGCAGAGAGCGGCCGTTGCACACACTGCCAACCTGAGCTGGGCGAAAGGATCGCAGCCGTCACAGACCTTCGAATCTGTGAGGTCGGCACATGCCAAAAGGCGCGACAAAGCCTGCAATTCCAGGTCCCAGGACGACACCAACCTGGGCTTCGCCAAACCCCCTTCCCTTCTCACGCCATGACTCTTCAACGGAGCCGGTGCCCTGCACAATCGAGCTGCTCCATAGGCAGCCATTATCCAGGCCATCTTGCCCACTCTCTCCTGCCGAATTGCAAAGCTTGCTCACTACATGCCTCAATTTCCGGGTAATGGAGCCTCTGGCCCCGTGACATCGGCCACAATGGCCTGGCAAATGCAAACCTGAGAGCAACGTGCAGTGGCAAAGAGGTGCAACCCCAATACCGGTAGAAGGGAAGTCCTAACTCTGCCACAGATTTCCTTCCTCGCGTAGCCCAGGGACGGTGCCCGAGAAGAAGCCGTGGCAGGCACGGAAAAAGAGTAGCTGCGACAGCGATGCCTGACAAATCTCGATGCGACAAGTAGCCTCGTGGAGCCGAGATAAGCCCTCTCTGCCAAGACACAGCGAGCCCGCAGGCCAGCAGAAATACGGAGGAGCTGAACAAGCTCACCAGCAGAATCCTTTCTTAGCTTATGCGACGGCCCAGCCAAGACATTCTTGCACCGCTGGAAACTGAAGCGTCCTGCGCTTACCCAAACCGTCAGACAGCGCGCCCAACACCATTGTCCCGAAGACCTTGCGAAGAAGGCGTGATGCGTCTGCGACAATGCTCGGAGGTTCGAATGGTAGCATGCCCAAGCCTGCATTAAGCTGTACAACGACTGCATCAAGCCAACCGCAAAGGCAGAACCGCTCATCCTTTGGCACATGTTTGGCTTCTCATGGAATCTACACGCAGTGCCAAGCTCATGCTGCCGACGAGTGTCTGAGTGGCTATGTAAGGAAGCAACGGCAGAATCATCATTGCTCCCATTTTGTCAAGCATAACAGCCAAGTAGACGCTCCTTCCAGGAGTGAGTAGTACTGCAGGCACAACCACAGAGCCGAATAACATGTCTGCCAATTTATGCAGCTGGGATTCGTTAAGTCTGCCTCGACTTGCACTCCCTGCTCACCATCACCGCAAGTTGATCGCATGATTTCTGCTAGGGAGCATTCAGCACGGCAATTGCTCTGCGAATTCCCAGAAACCGGTGCTTGCTGCAAGCTGACTGCTATGTTACCTTGAAGTGAAAGCTAGCCAAAAACGGCTGGAGTCTGGAGTGCCACATCGAGCGCTGGGTCAAACACCCTTCGGCTGCTTCAATAGCTAACTGTAACTGCCGAAAACACTCCATCAATCTTTTGTGTCGCTGCCGGCTGATCATGAGCTCCTAAAGGTTCCGGAACCTTGTACACTGAGAAAGTGTTCGCGTCCTCACGGATGTGATGTTACCATACAAGTTGTCTTGATGCAGTTGTGTGCTCTAGTGTTTTGAGCCTTGTGTGCATGACAGATTGCTGCAACCGTACAAATCAGCTGAAGCACTGCGGATTTCTCATGTGGATAGAAAGCAACAGCGATGATGCACCATATACAGCTTGTGTTAC